AGGGCAATCTGTGGGTCAGGGAGCAGATAACAAGCATCTTACATGCATGTTGTTTACTCTCAGAATTATTAGGCCAACCTCACTAGAAGAGTCACAGAACACACAGAGGAAGCCCTATAAATAAACATACTCTGGGACTGGGGGACATCACTAATATTCAGGAAGCCCTCTTCCCTTTGGACTCCGTGCAGGGCATGATGGGGATGACCCCTTCCTGTGCATATACGTCTCCCCTTTCTGCCTCACCTAATATTGGTCATCAGTGTTACCACAAAGATTGATTCTGTGCTGGTATTTATTTGGGGAATACTGACAAGCCTGGGAGGCTCCTTGTAGGAGGAGCGCGCTTCATGGTTCTGACATCTTTACAGAGAATAAACTCCTGGAGGAGAACGTGAGGATAAGGGGTCGAGCCAGCCCGGCACGTCTGGCCCAACACTCTCGTTTTACAGACATGGAAGCCAAGGCCCATGGAGGAGCCCAGACCCCGGCTCTTTCCATTACTCCATGCTGCCTCGTTGTCCATCTCCTCTCCGTTTTTCAGCCTCATCAGCCCATCTGCCTGGCTCATCGTGAAGCAGCACTAACATCATCTTTATCACAGAATCAGAGAATTTCAGAGTATGTGGGCCTAGGCCCCTGCTGAACACGAATGCTCTCTGCGACCCAAGCAGCCACCCAGTGTTGGCTCAGATCCCCCTGGAGCAGAGCCTACTTCACTCTAGATCTGCCCCTGACCATCTGCTCACGGCTCCTCTTCCTGCCCTCGGGGGCCGCCTAGAATCAGCCGAGGCCCCTTTGTTCGTGGAGCCCTCCAGATGCCTGAAGACAGAGAACCTGCCCCTCCACATGCCCCCCCCATGGTTTCTTCATCGGCATCTCCCACGGCCAGATCACGAGCCTCTCCACCATCCTGGCAGCTCTCCTCTCGGTGTTTTCCCCTCTTCAATCTTCCTCCAGAGATCCTGTGGTGCCCAGAGCCGCACACAGTCCTGAGCGGGTGGTCTGACCACAGGGGGCCTTGTTCCTCCCTCGTTCTGGTCACCGTCCCTCTCTTCACACAGGGGAAGGCTGAGTTGGCTGTGGGGCGACCACATCACATCGTTGCCTCATACTGAGGCTGGAGTGTGGGAAAACCCTCACGTCTTTTCTGGTGGAACTGATGTCTTGCTTGGGTCCCCTATCTTGTGTTTGTGAAGCTGACACTGTGAATCCAAGGGTAAGACTTGTCACTTACCTTTGTTGGATTTAAGCTTATGGAATTGGGCCCAACGTTCTAGAATGCTAAGAGCACTGGCAACTTCTGTAGACAAGAAAGAATTTGAACCCAGGTCTTCTGGGCAGAGAGGCCAGTCCCCTGCCTGCTCTACCACATGGCTTCTCATTGCTGCTTAGCCCAGAAACAATTCCTTTTTAAATGCTGAATCACTTTTAATTATGACCAAGGAAATGTCTGGCATTCAGAAGATGCTGTGCTGGTGGTCAGGGGTGCTCTGCCTCCGGTCTGGCTGCAGGCACGTGAAGCCGATCTCACTGGCAAAGAGCCCCAGCCAAAGATGAGCTGCATCCACGCCTAGTTACGGGTTTTGCTCGGTCCTTTTGGGCGTCTGGGGAAATGCACAGAGACCAATTTCCACGGCCGTGGGCAAATCCCCAGAGGGGCTGCAGGCCCTTTTTTGTCTTATTCAATGCACTGTCCCCAGCATCCCTGTAGGGGCCCTCCCAAGCCAATCCTCCCTGGCTAGCTTCTCTACTCAACCCTGAGAAGATCTTTATCTACTAAGAAGAGAGTCTTCCAAGAAACAGGTATCGGTTTCCAGGACACACTGCAAGGTCTCCCTGCAGGACTTCAGATGTTTCTGACACCATAAAATCAGGCATCCCTTCCAAGGGCCAATTGTCCACACCAGAACCAAGACAGAACATTCCCTCCATGGAAATCTGCCAACGCCCAAGATCTCTCTTCACAGACCGGCACAGAGAGGCCCCCTCCTAAGTCAATGCCCCCACACAAACTGCACCAGTCAGGAGGATTCTCTTTGGCATCCTCCGAGCATGTCTCCTTTCCTTTGTGACAAGCCCCACAATGGACCAACCGTCCCTCCAGACCTCTGCCTGCTCAGCATCGCCACAGTGTGGGGAGATTTCTAGGCACTTGCCCCTTCTGGACTAGATAACTCAGCACTCTGGATGTGATTAAGCTCCTGTGCTATAAGAAATGACAAGGGAGATGGAGTCAGAAAACCCTGGAAGACTTGCATGAACTGAGAAACCAGGAGAACACCGTACATGGTAAGAGCAACACTGTAATGATGATCGACCGTGAAAGACTTGGCTGCCCTGATCAAGACGATGGTCCAGGACGATTCCAAAGGACTGTGACGAGAAATGCTGCCCCCCTCCAGTGATGGGACTGATGAATTCTGCATGCAGGGCGAAGCAGACTTTACCATCTTCTTTATCCTTGTTTGTGTGTGCGCTTCATTGTGCAACATGGCTAATATGCAAATACGTCTGGCTTGACTTTACAGGACTAATCGTATCATATTGTCTGCCTTCTCAAGGGGTGGGGGAGAAGCAGGAGGGAGGGAGGTCAAACATTTAAAAAATGAATGTTACATTTAAAAAAAATGTTATTGGGAAATAGTTAATGAAACAAAATACATTTAAAAAAATTTTTAAAACAAAACGTGCAATGCAAGCTTTTCTGAATATCTTTCAAGGGTGAGGGGGAAAAGAACAGATAAGAACACGTACTTACACACGGCACCTCCTGTGTGCAGGCTACTGTGTTAAGACCTTTACAAACACTATTTCACTTGGTCTTCACCACAGCCCTGGAAGGCGGGCACTGAGATTATCCCCATTTTACCACTGAGGAAACCAAGGCAGGCAGACCCCAGGCCCAGCACTCTGTGCCCCTGGCACCGCTAGCGGCCTGTGGAGGCTGGGCTGCCTTTCTGGCAGGGTATTTTAAAATGCAGTCACTGATAATTTGCTATATGGAATTTCTCTTCCTTTCTCTCTCTCTGACAACACCATCAATCCACATTTGTTTTAATGCAGGAGTATTCCATAAAAAATTAATCCGTAAACAATTTACACACAACAGAACCTGTGACTTTGGGCTTGGGAGAGCTACTAATAAAGCACGATTTACGGCAAGGCACGAGTACCCGGTTCGGGACCAGGCTCAAGTCCACTCGGCCTTTCTGGGTGCTCTCCCCCATCCCTACAGTGGGAAACTCCAGCTTGGCGGGAAGATGACGGCTGGAGAACCAGATTCCAGGCAGGGCAGAAACATGAGGCCAAGGGTGCGGACAAAGAGGGAACACCGTGCAAGCGGAGACTGGCCCAAGTGCAGGGTTCTGCTGCAGTAATGGGGGAGGCCACACTGGTCTCCTCTCCAGCCCTCCTGAACCTGGAACACTCTGCACAGTTGGCCACACCCACTTTCTCTGGCGGAGACAAGATCCCCTGGGACGCTTCCACTCAGCTTCCTTCCCTGGCTCCTCTTCCTTCTCCAGCTCCATCCCTGGGGCTACGAAGGGGAAGGGCCCGAGCCTTCTGCACCCTCTCGGGGAGCCTCACGACTCTCACTGGCACCGACCTCTTCTCTCACAATTCCACCTTTCTCAGTCTTAAGGATTTTGTTTCTGAGAAAGAAATTCTTGTTCTGTTGGGGACATCTGCCCCTGCCCAGGGAGAAGGAAGAGTAGTGTAAAACAGGAAAAAGGTTTGTTTTTTGGGTTTTTTGAAGCCACTACAGTAATAAAAATTAACAGCTAACCAAATACTGATGAGGAGAACCACTGAAGAGATAATTTATAAACAGCATGTTGATAGCTGAGTGGGGAAGATGAATGGTCGCAAAATCTGAATTAATGGGAATACTCTAATCTTGCCCCTGACATCGAGTCAAGGCTAACAGAGGCAAATCATCAGTGTCAGAAATTCTTCTTCAAAGGGGGAGTACCAGCACATTTCTGTTTCTCTCTCTCTCTCTTTTTTTTTTGGAGACAGTTGGGGCTAAGTGACTTGCCCAGAGTCACAGCTAGTGAGTGTTATGTGTCTGAGGCCGGATTTGAACTCGGGTCCTCCTGAATCAAGAGTCGGTGCTCTATTCACTGCACCACCCAGCTGCCCCCACCAGTATGTTTCTTACCCCAAGGCCTGTCCTATGGCCAAAGTAAACAAACTTGAAATGAAGAACAGAACAGAAACAATTCTCAGTGCTAACTGATGGAGACTCTGAACAGTCTTCACGAAGCAAATGAGGTGAAGCAGATATTGAGCGCTCTGTCAACTGTCAGGCGTTACACACGTCACTGAATGTTATTCCTATGACGTTAATTATTGACTTTTGGACTTGGGCATCCCGTAAGTCCACCAGAGAAGGCCCTTGGCCAAGCGGGCAGATCCTCAGTGAGAGGTAAAGAACAAAAGTCACTCGGGAAGGGAGGGTGTGGAAAGGCCTCAGGGTGCCTGTGTGATGACAAGATGACAGAGTCCTTGAACACTGCACTGAGCTACCCTGTGTCTCAGACAAAGGAGTGGCTTTCCCAAGGTCATGCTGGCAGGCTCAGAATTAGGCCGCGTCATCTAAGAGTTTCTGTAGTTCGGAAAGACAAAATAACCCAACACTCAAGTGCTGACATCGGCATCGTTAGTGACGCTGAGCCTCAGGCCGCACGCCGCAGACAGTCCATCCTAAGCCCCGCAAGGGTAGCTAGTGCCCAGGCCCACACTCCCGACCTTCACTGAAAGCTCGGCAGCTCTCGTGGCTGACAGTGCCAGGTGGGCCCGGAGCCCCCTCCATGCCATGAGGGGTCAGGACAGGACGCCTGTGGACACGGAAGAATGATTCACGAGGGGTCAGGAAGAGATCACTTACTGGACCAGAGCTCTGGCACCACCCTTATGGACAACAAGGGCATTTCACCAGATAGCCAGGCGACGGCCTGGAGTCAGCTTTCTCTAGGCCGGGAGGGGCCACTTACTTGAAGGTTGTAGTCCTGCAGTATTTTCACCAGGGAGTCTCTCAAGTTGGGAATCTCCATTCCTTCCTTAATTCGGTGAATGAGAAGAATCGGGTCAACGTGGGTGCCGATGTTGTTTAATAAGCCAGTGATGAATGCTGTTGGAACAAATTAACACGTTCATCATGTGCATTCCACACAAAACTCTGCTAGTAAGTCAAGAGAGAAACAAAGACACTGGCCCTGCCCGGATGGGTGGGGGGAGATAAGCCAGCTGGACAAACCAGGGAGATCTCAAGGAGGAGTTACCAGGGGAGAGATCCTGGAGGAGGGGGAGGGGAAGGGGAAGGAAGGGGCATGGACACAGCCCCTACTACGTGCCAGGCACTGCACTAGTGCTGTCTGAATCATATCTCCCTTGATCATAACCCCAAGAGGCAGGTGCTGAAGGAGGAAACTCTCATCAGAGCAGGAGGAGCTCTGCAGGTATGCAAGTATGAGTGTATGTGTCTGTGAGTGTAAGGGCATGCATGAGTGTGTGTGTAAGAGCGTGTGTGCATGTGAGTATAATATGATTGTAAAATTTATGGAAGTGAGCCCATGAGTGGGAGCGCATGTAAATGTGCATGAGTGTGATTATGTGAGTGTATGAGTATCTAAGTGCACATGTGAGTGTGTGCATGTGCTTATGAGTCTGCATGCATATGTACGTGAGTGTGAAGTAGGTGTGCGCATGCATGTGTGAATCCACGCATGAATGTATAAGTATGCATGCACGTGACTGCATGTGTCTATGAGTTTGAATGTGCATGTGTTTGTGTAAGCGTGCATACATGTGTGAATGTAGATGAGTGTGCACACATGAGGGTACACGTGTATGAGAGTGTGTGTGTGTGTGTGTGTGTGTGTGTGTGTGTGATCGAGGGTTCAGGAATGAGGGATAACGAGTAAGAATGGGTCAAGAAAGTGCAAAGGAAGGACGATATTGGAGGGTGAGGATGGTCTGGTCTGGCCTGAGTGCTGAGCCCACATGAGGCAGCAGAGTGGGCCACGGTCATAGCGCCAGGTCTCTGGAGACCTTCAGGGACCCTGAGGGCTTCAGCAGGTGGTCAGGCGTGATCAGGCATGTTGGCAGCTGCCAACATGGTAATTCAGGGAAGCTGTGCTCGGGGCTATTGTGCCAGGCACAGGGGAAGCACCTGGCTGGGTATCCAAGGAAATGGGGGTGGACTGTCCTGTGACGGACAAAGAGTGGCCACAACCCGGCTGACCCGGGGCAAATCTGGCTTAGTAACCAGAGAGGAACGTCCTTTGGTCGCCAGGCCAGTGGGTGGCTGGTCACCACTCCCCTCCCATGGGTGCTGCTGATCTCTGGTGGGGCAGAGTCATGCGGGGAAACAGGAGAGGAGTACAGTAGGAGGCTCCAGGTTCTCTCTTTCTCTCTGTTTCTCCAGCTCCCACATTGATTGGTGCATCAAGACTATGCCTGGTACCAGGGAGGGCAGCTCTGCCCCCCTGCCCCCTTCCTCAGGGGTGTCCCTCAAGGCTCTCCTGGCAGGCTCCTTCTTTCTCTTCCTTGTCACAATGAGCTGGCTGGCTCTCACTTCCGTAGCTTTGCCTGTCACATCCTTTCTGTCCAACTCTGACCGCCTAAGTAAGTTCCAGCCCTATACCTTCCAGCTGTTTGTGGGACATCTCCAGGTGAGATGTTTCGCTAGCACCTCACCCCACGGGGGCTAAAATGGACTCATCTGCTTCCCTGACAATCGAACTCTTTCTTGAATTTCCTGGCACTGCCATCTTTCAGACACACTGAAAGTTTGGATAAATGCAGGGGGAAGAAACAGATGGAAACCAAGGAGGATGAGCAGAGAGGGAGGAAGAGAACAGGACAACAGATGTCCAGGAAGGAGAATCCCTGAGCCCCAGCACTGGGGGAGGGGGGACGTCGGCCAGGCCACCTCTTGTCCATATCCTGTATCTCGTCAGGATATGAGACATTGCCTCCTGTTCTGGGGCAGCTTTCTGTGTGCTGGGACGCCTCTGACACTGATTCACTTGCCTCCCCTTAATTCCTATCACTGGTCTCAATTCTCCCTTCTGGAGCCATAAAGGGTGCGTTTAACTCTTTCTCTGTGTGCCAGATCTTCAGTCTCTGAAGGATTACAACACAGACACCCGGGCTTGCATCTCCAGGCTAACCATCCCCAGCTCCTTTGAGAAATCTCCACAAGGCACGAATAGAAGGCCCTCCATCTTCCAGTTCCTTCTTCTCTGAAGAGTCTTCAGTCTACCAACATCCCCACAAAAACGGGACACCAGACCCGATACACCATCAATGCACCAGATGTGTCCTTATCAGGACTAGATGACCAGAAGAGGGAGGGTGAAAATGCTTCAGAAGCACCAAAGGAAGATGAGCAGCGAGGACAGAAGCCAGGTACTGATGGGCTAAGATGAGGACTGAGAACGTGGCAATCAGGAGAAGCCCGGTGACCTTGGACAAAGGGATTTCAGTAGAGCAGTGGGGACAGAAGCCAGGTACCGATGGGCTAAGGAACTGGAGGCTGCAAACAGAGATTCATCATCTTTCTAGAAGTCTGTCCGTGAAGGCGAGCGAGGCTGGATGAGAACTGGAGGAGGGTTTTCTGGGATTTGGAGGCCCTGGACAGGTTTGTGGCCAAGGGGCCACAAGGCGGCATTCCTAGTTCTTGGTCTTCTCTTTCTCCTCAATTCTCCACGTGTGACATTCTGTGTATTCCTGGTAGAATCTAAGCTTCCAAAGCTTAATAAATGCCTATGGATTGCCTAATAAATATTTGTTAAGTCTGTGGAATAAAGAGGCTGGGAGAAGAAATGACTGACACAATTTCCAGAAAAGACCAAAGGGTCAGGATGAAGACGCAGGTAGAGAAGGGGTCAGCCTGGGCTAAGAGGTATCTTCTATCTCCTCCTCTGGGACTAGAGGGAAGAGGACACAGCGATACAATGGAGTGCAGGAGGGGAGACAGGAGAGAATCCGAATTGAATGCAATCTTCCCAGAAATACACGAGTCAAGGTCATCTGCTTGAAGAAGAGAGAGAAGTCTGGGAAAGACCAATGAAGATATTGTGACCGAATATCGCACGGCAGGTGTGAGAGCCCAGCTGTAGCAGGACAGCTTCCAGTCTGACTGGGTCCAGAGGACACGGTCTTTTGGACTTTGCCCAGAAGTATTCAGGAGGACTTGGAAGTAGGAATGGGGAAGACGGACAGTGGGGGCTCGTCCAAGGCTGGACATTAGCAGCAAAGGGGGAGGGGAAGGTCAAAGAACAAGGGGCTCAAGGGGAGAAGAAAGTGCATTGTTGACATGGCAGACACTAGGGCGCAGACTGTGAAGGGATGGAAGGGAAACTGGGCCAGGGTGGCTGCACTGGGCCCCAGGACGAGGAACCAATGGGCCATCTGAGGAGGGAGAGTGAGCGGGAGGGGGAGAGAAGCCAGAGATGGGGCAATTTGAGGCCGTGAAGGTCAAGCAGCGAAGCGACAGTTAAGGCTGAAGCGGGGACCCCACCTTTGGTGGCTGAGATCAAGTGAAGACAGATAGGAAACACCTTAGCGACCCCAACTCACTCTACAAGGTTAGCTTTGTCTGAGTTCCTAAGAACGGACCTCCCCTAGGCCATGGGAGAAAACCCCCAACCTGCCACGGACCAAATGTCTGATCGCAGAGATCCACTTGAATCAGATGCCAGAATTAACATGTGTCAATGGAGAGCTTTTTATTTGAAAAACAGAAAAATAAAAAATCATTCTCATTGGCTACAGCTCTGCTGCCTCTTTTTCAGCTTGGCTTAGCAAGGCAACTTTGACAAGAAGTTCCAGTGAATTCTGAAATTAGCCAGGGGCAATTTAAACCAAAAATGTGCTTTATCTCACCCCTCTTAGAGGGGTGGGGAGATAAGATTTAGGGAGAGCCCCCTACCCCAGATGGAAAAGGCTGAACCCTACACTGGGCTGTCAGACATCAGGTCAGGAGCAGAAGCAACCAACACCGGCCTGCTGGTCAGCAGAGACTGCCAGAGAACAGCAGGGCCAGCACAGTGACAGCACATGAGGGCAGGAACCAACCTCTCATTTCAGAAGGCTGAAACTCCAGCTTTCACACACGGACCGAGCCGTGCAATAAAGACGTCCATCCATAAAGAGAGTCCAGGAGGCTACTCAGGTTATACGCTTCAAAAAAGAAATGCTGCTTCTGGGAGTCCCTGCCCCCATCCTTAATCTCTCTCTCTCTCTCTCTTTCTCTCTCTCTCTCTCTCTCTCACACACACACACGCACACACATATACATGCGCACACACATCTCTACCCAAACCACACACACATGCATACACACACACATGCACATGTGCACACACACCTCTACCCAAACCATACATACACACATACACGCACACACACACAACAGCTTACGTGGCTTGTCGATGGAGTACAAAATCAGGTCCTCCCACAGCTCGGCATCATCGTGCTCCTTGGCGAAGTCGATGGCTTTGTCGACGTCATGCAGCTCCTCCATGATCATCTTCAGGGCACTCCGGCTGTTCCCCATTCTGCCTGGGGGCAGGAAGGAGACCAGGTGTCAGTCAGCACATCTCAGTGACTCTCTGGGAGAGTGAAAAGCGAGGGGCCTTTACCTTACAGGATGTCTATCCAATGAACAGCCTACAGCCTCCCCGGCCAGTATGGGCACACTCTACTAGGACCAGGGCATGACAGACTCCACCTCTTCCTCGTAGGGTGTGCTATGTCTACATTAGCACAGCTAAGTCTGTGACAAGCCCCAGTGACTCCTGGGAAATCTCTTTTCAAAGCGACAATTCCCCAAACAAAGAGTTTAAAGTTGAATCTGATGGGTCACAGCACTTTACTTAGGAGGAAAATGTGAGCCCAAGAGTGAGGGGCTTGGCCAGGGTCACCCAGGGAGCAGTGGCAGCAGAGCAGGAGCTGGAAGGATGGGCCGCCACGACTGGCTCGGGGCTCTCCCGGCCCTTTGTCTCTGATACGATCCTAGAACCAGCGACCTCAGAGGCCATCAGGCCCAGCCTCCTCCATCTACAGGCGCAGAACCCTCGGGTCCAGAGAGATGAAGCCACTTGTCCAAGTTCACAGAGGGATTACGATAGAGAACCAGAATTAGAACCCAGGTCTTCAAACTCCAAATCTGATTAAGAGGGTCTCAATTTCTCTGCCCCAGTGTGGAGGGGCAACATGACATCACCAAACAACAGCGAGAGACACTGGGTGCCTCCTCCCCCTCAAACCCCACCCCCCCCGCCCCATCCTCTCATGAAACAAGCTTGCCAAGGACGTTCAGAAAATCTTCTTGGCTCATGAACTAGAAGCTTTCATTGAGTAAGTTACCAGTGACAAATGTTACTAAGGGTTACCAGCAGATGATTTGGGTAATTTTTAAATGAGAATTAACGGTAAGGGATGGGGGGGAGAGGAGGGGAAAAAAGCACAAACCCTATGAACATCAGAGGATGTAGTGGAGAAAGTCCTGGGTCTGGTGTCAGAGGTCCTGGGTTCAAATCGTGGCTCTGCTACTTCTTATCTTGGTGACTTTGGACAAGTCAGTAACTTGTTTGGGAACTCAGTTTCCACTCTGTAAAAATAACCTATGAGATCCCTTGACACTCCGAATGGGTCCCCCTATGTTTTCCCTAGGCCTTAGTTTCTCTGTCTGTAAATTGGTCTGTAGATTGGCCAAAGTGGTCTCTAAGCCCCTTTCTATCTCTGAAATTCTGTGATTATAAAAAAAAATCTACGTTCACTGAAGAATATACTTTGGAATCAAATGGCCCCGGCTGAGACTGTTTTTTTGAAAAACGATGGTTCCAGTGCCATAAAAGTCAACCCTCACGCGTCCATCTGCTCCAAAGAATCCAAGGACCACTGACATCGAGCCTGCAGGGACCCTCGGAGGTCATGAACTCTGACCCCCACTTTACAGAGAGGGAAACTGAGGCCAGAGAAGAGGCACTACTTGCACAAGATCTCACCGGTCAGGACAGATCATCTGCCCCTGAATCCAGCATTCTACAAACATGAGGCCAGAGGAGACTGCTGTGAAGCTTTGGTCACCCTGAAATTCTGGCTATGCTGACTTTGCTCCTTCTTCTGTTTTAATCTGGTTTCCAAGAGGATGGCTTCATCCTTTCCAGGAAGCTGTGACGTGTGTGGGCCCTAGGCCGGTGCTGATGTCAAAGGGCCAGGAAGGGCTTGGGAAGGGGTGAAGCAGAACACGATGGTATTCTTCTCTCTGATGGGGGTAGGTCCAGTGAGTTTTTGGAACATGCTCATAAGGCAGCCGTGCACATGGGCTGGTCCCAGGATCCCTCAGTTTATGGAGTCTGGAGGCTACATTAGAGCTTATCCCAACGAAAGATGTTACTTACTCAGGAGATAGACGGTCTCTTCCACAAAGTTCCTCTGTTGGCAGATCTCAAGAGCCTAAGTTAGAGCACAAAAAAAGAAATGGTGATGTTGGGACCCTGAGCAGCATCACAGCTGTCTGGTGATTCAACGATCTGTGACTTCGATGGTCCGGGGAACTCAGCCACCAGCACAGGGCATGAGCTCCCGGAGCCTCAGCTGACCACTGCATGAGCTGGAGGTGGCTGGAAAAACTCCATCAGCCAGGAGTGACCCTCGTGGGGATGAGCCCCTGCATGTGGCTGGGACGGCCCCTGGGCCACATTCTAGGCCCACACCACACTGGCCGCAGCATGCCCTTCTCGGCTCACCTGGGGGAAGCTCTACCACACAAGGCACATCCTAACAGATTTCAAAGTGCCCTTAGTGTTCACTGACAGTCATTTTAGAATTAGCAAAGATGATAAAACTGTCCCGGCTTCCTGGCCCAGGAGCTGGGCTCCGTCTCCTAGAAGGGGACCTCTGTCTTTCATCATTTACCTGATAAACAGCCAGGAACTTATATTCAAAAACAAAACAAGACAACCCACACAGACTTTCCTGTGCATCACTGGGGGAGAACAGCAACGCTGTTTAGTATCTTTCTCAATCTTCTCTAAATCTGTTCAAGCATATGCCAGAGGACAATTATGGGTTAAAGTAGAAAGACTGAGGATATGAGATCAGGTTTCCCTCTAAAGACTCAAACAATTGCTCAGGTGAAAGCTTTTCCTTTATGGATAAAAACAGTAGCTTTGTCTACTGATGATGCAGGCCGTTTGGGGATAAGAGTCCAAGTCGTCAGTGCCACGAAGAGGTGGGAGGAATGGAAAAGAGCAGAAACTGAGGATGCCAGCAGCCATGCACTTCTCTAGTTTGGCTCAGTAGTTCTTCTTCGGGAAATGGGGGCATGATTTAAATATTATAACTTGGGTTGGAAGTTAATAATTGCCTTTCCTTTTTCTCTAATGGGCCTTGGTCATCTAACCTTCCAAAGCTCCTTGGCTGGCATGAAACTCGACAAAAAGTCTCTGTGCAGATTACAGGAGGTCACTGTGGGCAGAAATGCTTAACACAAATACAGTGAGACCTGGATGGTACTTCAAAGATGAAGTAAGGCTGAAAAGAAGAGTGACCAAAAAGGCCACCCTTGAGAAGGAAGACCCTCAATCAGCTAAGAAGATACTGCTTTCAAAATGGCACGATGGAAATTTAGAAAATCACAAAGCTAGCCATGCTGTGTCCCACTGCATCCCAAGAGCACCATTCTAAGTGATGAAAGGCACAGACACAGACAGCAAATAACAGGACAAGAAAGGATGGTCTCCACCAAGCTGTCCCATGAGTCACTGCATTCAGCCCTCAAAGGAAAGAGCCATCACCATGGGTGACGGCAGAATGCTTAGGGAAGGGCCCTGGGCCCAAAGCACGGAGCCTCTGTGAGGAAGGGAGGACATGCCAGAGGGAGAAAAAGCAGAAGTGTCAGTCCAGGGAGCGAAGCATGGAAGGCGTGTGTGAAAGGAGACCAGCCTCAAGAGAGGAGCAAGCAGGCTGGTCCCAGGACCTCAAGGAGCCTGGTCTTGACAACCTCGAAAAAAGAAGCACCATGATGACAGCGTCTGAAGGAAGCTGATGGGGCGGCACCACATAGGAAACGGTGGAGACAAGAAGACCTGTTTGGAAGTACTGGCATCGCAGAGGCCTGGGGGTAAATAAGGCCCTGGACCAGCACATGGCTGTGAAAAAAGGTGATAGCGATATGAGCCATTATGAAGGAAGCGAGATCCCTTCCAGCTCTGAAAGTCTGAAAATCTGTGAAAGGACAGGGAGACTGGGCAGTATTGGGGAGGGGTGCAGAGAGAGGAATGAAGTTTCAATCGGGGATGGAGTCGGTTTGGGTGGAAAGATGATGGGGCGGTGAACTTGAGGAGAGAGCAGGAGATCTAGGAGAAGTGCCATACAACCTGCTGGGTGGTCTTAGGTAAGTCACCTCCCCTCTCTGGGCCTCTGAAGCACTTGTAAAAAGAAGGGGGATGGCTCAGATGATCTCTAGGACCCTGCTAGCTCTGACATTCTAGGATTCTAAATGCTCTTTCCACAGCTGAAGATACAGAAATGGAGCTCAGGAGAGAGGTCAGGGTTAGAGAGAAAACCCTGGGCTTCATATGCAGAGATACAAGGGTTAGTGAAAGGGTTGAGAATGCAGGAACCTGCTGAGAATTCAGAGTCTGAAGGGAAGGCCAGTAAGTGAGCTCTGGGGAACACCTCTAGTTTGGGGTTAGGAGAAGGAAGAAGAGCCAGAAAAAGAGCCAGAGAAGGAATATCACGTAAGACAGAAGGGACCCCGAAGTTCAGCCTTCTCGGTTTGCAGATGAAGAGCTCAGAGATGCTGACCAACTTGCTTAGGATCACAGAGCTACAAAGTATGCAAGGTGGGGTTTAAGCCGAGGCCCTGGGAAGATGAGGTCCACCGCTCCCTTCTACAGAGCAAAGATATCAGTTTGGCTGAATGATGGAGCATCAGAGGCCACGGAATAATAGCCCAAGGCTGCAAAGGTGAGATTGACAGGCCTTGAAACAGTTCAGTTATGGGGGCTAAGAGATAGTGAAGAATCCTGGAGCCTCAAGGGCTGAGAGGATGGTGTTGCCCTTGACAGTTAGAGGGAAAGTAGGACGGGAAGATTCGGGGGAAAGAAAATGAATTCTCTTCTGGACATGTTGAATTTAAGATGTCTGCCAGGCCTCCAGTGTGAGATGTCTGAAAGGTAGCTGAAGGTAGCAGAGTCTGGGGCAAGAAAGGTAGATTTGAGAATCACCAGTATAAAGACAGTCATTAAATCTATGGGAATGGATGAGATCACCAAGTGAAGTAGGACAGAAGGAGAGAGAAGGGGGCCCGGGACAGAACCCTGGCCCACAGTGAGATGGCACGTTCTGGAGGTGCATGCAGCATCTTGGACAGGAGAAACAGGAGAAAGAAAACCTGGTGAGAACAGTGTCAAGGAGTGACTGACAGCGTCCAGAGAGGCCGAGGAGAATGAGGACTGAGAAAAAGCCACCGGATTTAGCAACTGAGAGATCACTGATGCCTTTGCAGAGAGTGGTTTCAGTGGGAAGATGCCCTTCCTGAAATGGATACTCGTGGACAGTGGAGTAGATGCTAATGACCTCGCCCTACAGCGCAGTGCCAGTGAGGGCCCCAGGAACCTGAGGGGATGGAGGAAGGGAAGAAGGGTCTGCACCAGCAGCAGCTGGGCCTCCACAGAGGGCCCGGCCCAGGAGGTTACACGCACACCCCAACTTCTGGGGCACCTTGCAGCCAAGAGCCTCCAATGCTTTTATGCCGAACAGTCCTATCTTTTACTTCTTATTTGCAGGTTAAAGAAGGAATGCTCCTCAAGGACCGCCCACAATGTTGCATGAAGAAGTACGTGGAGAAAACACTTCCAGGGCGAGGATTTCCCCAAGCAGACAGGAAAAGGGCACAAGACTCCATTTCACCATCATGGATCCGGGCGCATTCATGGGCCACAGTGCTCCCTCTAGAGGGAAGCTGAAGACATGAACTTCTAAAAGCACAAGAAAAAAGAGGATGGGAGAGAGAAAAGAAGGTAACAGAGAAGACAGCACACTTCTGGTTCTTCTCTTCTTAATTCACGCACATCAACGGCTATAACTAGAACAGCAGCAGGCTATGTAACACTCAGCAACGCACTGGCCAGGCTTGTTCACCTGGGCCATCCTTTCCTCGGCTTCAGTCACTACAATCCTGCTGGGATGCCTCTGTGCTACGGAGGTGGTCATGGGGCCTTGAAAGCTCTGCCCACAGCCCACCAAGCTGGGAGTATGGGCACAGTGCCAGGCGACACGTCTCTCACTGAGGACCAGCCTGGCTAAGCTCAGCGAAGTCCCACACCAGGCTGGCCATGGGGAGATAGATGACTTTCCAGCCAATGCAGCCTTCAAGGACTAAGTGATGGAGGGAATGTAGGCTGCGTCAGTGGATGAAGAACACACAAGGATGAAATCACTTTTCCCTGGAGGACTAAAGGGGTATTTTGTTTTGTTTTGTTTTGTTGCTTAAATTAACCTGGAGCCCAAGCTCCACAGACTTTTTCCTTCCTAATTCAGGCAGACAGGTGGACTCCTTGGGAATTCCAATTTATGGAATACTTCGATTACTCCAAGGCATACCTTTGCCAAAGCAGAAAAGTTTAAACTCCTGCTTTTAAGCCCAAACTGAAGAAAGTCAGCTTTTAAGATGCCTGTTCTCTCTCGTTAACATCCATATTAAAGCAAATGAATGGGAAAGCTCAGGAGACCCCTTTTGAAACCCGGCACATCATTTCTCCCCCTCCTAATCCTACATTTTTTGGGGGGTGGGTGGACATATTTTCAATAACTGCACAGACTATAATTTCCTTTAAACTTTAGGCCTCCTTTCAAAAGGCAGCTGAAGAACTGAGAAACAGCTTAAGAGCTTTTCATGCTGTGATTTAAGGGGGCTAATGATTTGTGACCTCCAGCTCTAGGCTTGAATGTTTCCAAAAAGCTTTTGATGAAGGCAATCCCAGTGCTCTAGGATATAACTTTACAACTGGGTAGGCAATTTACATCGGCAGATATGAAGTGACCCAGCACAAGGCTGGTCTGAATTTTCAACCAATTCTCACCTTCTAATTCAGTTATCCTCCCTGCTGACCCCCTTACAAGTATCGACCTGTGAGCAGCTTCCCAGCAAAGGCCCACATCCCCCACACCTTGAATTAAGAGGTGGCTGCAGAACACATTAAATTGTGAAAGGCCCCAGGTGCTGCTGAGGCAAAACCATCAGCAAAGTTCTCAAGTTGGGATACCACCGAGTGTGTGGGTGTGTGTGGGTGTTCACAGGGCTGCTGAGACCCTCCCTCTTTTCGTGATGGCTTTCCAGAAATTAAAAGAGGTCTCTCCCTTCTCCCAACACAGATATGATGTGAAAATGGCCCAATTTCACGTGGGATTTTTGCCTTAAGCCAACAACTGGCCCCCAATGGCTTCCCTTCTGCATGCCGATGTGTGTACCATCTTCAGCTTTTGGCATTTCTCCCTCTGCCAGTGAAAAAGTAGTTGGCTGGAGCCTGGGATCTCACTTGGAGTCCTGGACTGACAAATCGCCCATTCTACCCTGGCTGTCTAAGCTTTTGGGAAGCTATTTTCAATATTAGGATGGGCAGGATTCATCACAGGCAAATCCGGGATGGGCCCAGCCTGGTGTCTAATGGCCTGAGCCATAGATGCCATTAGCTGGTTGAGATATAAAATGGATTTTTCACTTTCCAAATAAATACGTTACTACTGTTGGCTTCAAAATATGGTAATGTATGAATGGAATTTCTTTTTGTAATAAGAAAAAAGACTGACAAATGAACTGTGAGCTACTAAGTCATTGCTGTCTCCTTGAAAACCACAACAGGGACTTAAGTAAGTATAAATGTGCCTCATCTGTAAGTTAAAAACAATGAAGATGTCTATCTTTCAAGCAATACTTTCCTTCCTCAGGAGACAATAGCAACTTATTCTAACAAAGAAAGTCTCCATGATTTACAATGCAAAAGTCCCTTGAAGGAATTTTAACAACATGAATTTCATAATGAAGCAGTCTCTGACCCCTTTATAATGCTTGCTGGATTCTATTCTGAATATTCTCCTGGCACAGCACAAGGCTTGAGGAGCTCGAATCTGGTCTGAGAATCCGAGGGGCAGGGCCTCTAACTCGCAGCCCCTGGATGCTGGACTCTGGCCTACTGTGCCTCTGGACATCACCAAGCACACCTGAAGTGACAACGTCAGAGCCTGGGAGGAAAAAGTCTGGTTCGGAAGAACCCAAGCTCTTAAGACTAAAGAAAATGGCCAACCTTCTCACCCAGCCTCACAGAAAGGAGGAGAAAGGTGTTTTGTGTGTCTCTGATCTCTACCAAGAGCGTGGACAACAATCCCATGTGCTCGATGGTTGAGTGGAGAGGCTCCACAACAGTGAAACTGCGGATGTACTCTGGCACCACCCAGAGAAACAGGAAAGCAGAAGAGGGGGAAGGATTGGGGGAAAGAAAATCCATTTCAATTTGAACTTGCTGAATTTAAGACGTCTATGGGATATCCAATTATCGCTGTCCGAGAACAAGATGGAGTCACAGACTGGAGACTAGGAGAGAGGTTAGGGCCAGATAAATGTAAGAACCATTGACACAGAGATGATAACTGAATCCTTGGGAACTGACAAGATTACTAAGCAAAACAGTATAAAAGGAAAAGAGAGGAAGGCCCAGGAAAGGCTGTGAGTCACCCCAGTTAGTGGGCATGATTCAGGTGAAGATGCAGCAAAGCAACAGTCAGCCAGGTAGGAGGAAAAACCAGGAGAGAGAAATGTCATGAAAACCTAGAGATGACAGTATCAAACCCAGGGGAAGTAGGTGTGACAGAGTCCAAGGCTGCAGAGAGGTAGGAAGGATAAAGATTGAGAAAAAGTCATTGGATCGCGAAATTCAGAGATCATTGGTGATTGGACAGAGCAGTTTCCATTGTTCTCTCCCCAGTGTATAGGACCTTGAATGGACTTGGCACTCAAGTAGTATCTGAGGAAGGAGGGAAGGAAGGAAGGAAGGAAGGAAGGAAGGAAGGAAGGAAGGAAGGAAGGAAGGAAGGAAGGAAGGAAGGGAGGAAGGCAGGGAGGAAGGAAGGGAGGAAGGAAGGGAGGAAGGCAGGAAGGAAGGAAGGGAGGAAGGCAGGGAGGAAGGAAGGCAGGAAGGAAGGAAGGAAGGGAGGAAGGCAGGGAGGAAGGAAGGGAGGAAGGAAGGGAAGGAAGGAAGGAAAGAAGGAAGGAAGGAAGGAAGAGAGGGGGAAGGAAGGAAGGAAGAGAGGGGGAAGGGAAAGAGGGAGAGGGGGAGGAAGGACTTCCTGAATTTTTGACGTTAGTTGCGCAAACATGATGCTGTAGCCTGGGCTATCGACTTGGGATTTGCAATCTGATTCTGACTTTGCTTCCTAATTACTGGTCTATTTCTCCCTAGATCCTCACCTCAGGGTTGGTTTCCAAGCCTGGCCTGGCCCCTTGAATGCCTGATGCCTCCTTTGGCTTGAGGCTCTGGACCCTAACTTTGTACCCAAGCCCCAAATAACCCCACTCGCTACAGGGGTTTGGTCATCAGGAAGGCCCAGAGCCACTCCTCCTCGTCCTGACACACTGAGGATCAGGCTCACTGTCTAAACACTTGCCCCAAGCAGAAGCTGCCACTGGCCCCTCTGCCCTGGGTCAGGTGGGCAAGGGGCAGAGGAACTGTGACCACATATGAACTGTAGGGAGGCGGCTGCTCACCTTTTCCAGGGGACAGTGGGTGCTATCTCGCAGAAACGGGAGCAGGCTGGGGCGATCGTATTCAGCATAAAGGCTGATCTGCTTCTCATGGAAGCGCTGGCCCTTATGATGGTCTCTTTTGAAAAGCTTGTGCAGATACTGAAAGAAACAGAGGACAAAGGCATCCAGATCAACATGGGGGAGGGGGGGAAGCCAGTCCGTACTAGTCTTCACTTCTCCCACTGTCCAAGTAACTTCATTAGAAAGACATGGATAAAGCACCTTTCAAAAACCTGGCCATGACCCATGTCTAAGGGCCTGGTCACAGAGGGGATAGAGAATGTTTTCCTTTCAAAGTGCAAAGCACGCTGAGATGATTAGAAACTCAAGGGCTGGGCGTGGGGTCAGAAGGCCTGGGTTCAAATCCTGACCTGGCATTTACTAGCTGGGTGACATTGGGAAAGTCACTGAACCTGGCTGAATCTCAGTTTCCTCATCTGCAAAATGGGGGATTAGCCCAGACGGCCTGTGAAGCCCCTTCTCGTTCCTGAACTACACACACAGCCCTGTGACGAGAGCCGAGTCACCGCTTCGGCCTGTGGCTATTTCAGAATCAGGATGCTCATCGGTAATTCCCCCTGCCCCCAGTAAGACTTTGGATGAAGGCTTCATACAGTCAGGGAGAAGGCTGGAAAGCACCGCCATGTGACGCTTCTGCCCTAGACGAGGTTTGCGGCTCTGCTGAGTGGGGACGGCTGCCAAGCCCCCACCCCTGGATTCCCTTGGGCTGGCCACCCCAAGGCCAGCAGGTGTGGACAGTGCCAGCACTGCCAGCAGGCACGCAGGCAGTCCGTGGGGGTTTTCAGACTGTTTTCCAGGCCCTCCACCCTTTCCCTCTCTGACACTCACACCCTGCTCTTAGCAGTATCAGGGCCAACAGCACGTTACCCTGAAATTTTCAAAAAGGCTTCACCATGTATTAATGTCAAAGGTGAGCCAAGGCACAGGATTTCCTGACGTCAGGATGGCTCCATTGCCAGGGCCCTGGAGCACAGAAGCGCCCGAGTCAAGCTACTCTGAGCTGTTCTGTCTATGCTTCCTCTCGCACCCTGAGAAGATGCTGCGTGTCCTCACTGCCCAAAGGCCGAGCCTTGCTGCTGGCCATACCCACTTTCAGTGTAGCTAGAAATGATAAAAAAGAAGAGCGAATAGGGCTCAGGGCTCATAGGAAAGCTGAGGACCCACGGGGACCTACAGAGACCTCACACAAAGGATGGTGTGCCAGGCTAGAGACAGCTTGAATGTGAGGGCATGAGCATGGTGCTGGAGTGGGCCTGCAGGGGTGGGGGGGCAATCCTCTCCTCTCCTGGAGTCAGGCTTTGCTCAGCCAGCGTGTGAGACACAGGGCTCGTAGGGCTGAGGGAAGAATACTGGCTGGAGATCTGATGCAGACTGTAATTCAGTGAGGGGAGAAAGAACCACACAGGAAATCGTCTCACTGATAGCCCTGCGAGAGATGCCAAAGGAGCATGAGCAGAAACCATCTCTTCCTCTGCTGCAATGCCAGCTGTGTGTGAACACACAGGCATGTGCCTGCTCTCCCCTGTACCAGAGCCCCTGACCCAGGAAGCCAAGGCTTGTCTGGCTGAGGATTCGTCTGACGTCAAAAGCATTAACACCTCGAAGGACAAATGCCATGGAAGGGGCAGAGCTTAGAAGGAAAGGGAGCAGAGCTCACCACGTGCTGCAGTTCCGGCCTGTTTTCTAGTTCCTCCACGACTTTTTTTATCTGAAGAAAAATGAAAATGATGACATGTGAACAAGGATACATGGGCCAACAACCATGGATGAAGTCCTGGGTGTCCCCACAGGCCCAGCATCCCTGCGTCCCACAGCTCTGGGCGGGAGCTGATGAGCAAAACATTCAAAAAACAAAAAACACTCACGGAAATCTTGTCTTCATTGTCCAAAAGCATGTCTACAGCTTTCTGAAATGCATAAAGACACACAGTTTAGTAGCTGGCATCTGCAGGCAGAGGGAGCTTGAATGAGCGTGTGCCTGGCAAGAACAGCGGAGAAATGGCCCCCCAACTCTGCGGGTCTTCTAAATACCCACAGGAGGACAGTGGGAAGGAAATGCAGTGACATCTACACAAAACTCCCAGCCAACCTGAGGTCCCAGCTTTGGCTGACTGCTAGTGCGAAGTCTCTCTTGGCCCCTCTCTTCGGTGCTCAGTGTCTGGCTTTGCTTTCCTGGCTGGACCCACTGGTGAGGTGTGGCTGCCCACCACCACCCAAAGGAGCTTTTCCCCCGATCCCTGCCATGTACAACCACTCTGACCTCCAGGGACACCTGGTCTAATACACCACTTCTCAGAACCCAGTGCACAGCGGGAGAGGCTCAGGCTCGGGAGGGGAAGGGCCTGGGCTCCAATTCCACTTCCTCTTCCTGGGCCTCAGTCTCCTCCTCTGTTAATGGGGCTGGCCCAGCTGACCTCCAAGGTCCCCTCAGCTCTAGAGCTGTGATCCCATGAGCCCTTGACATGGGCTGGAGTTCCCTCGGATGGGGTCTGAGGATCAGAGGCTGGGAAAGGCCCCTCCATACCCAGCCGGTCAGCTATGAGGACAGGCCCCACTCAGGCCCAGCAACCACTTTAGGTTTAACATCACAGAGAAGCTGGGAAAGAAGCGAGGGCACTCGGCAGGACAGAGGGACACACACAGACAGCGGGGAGACATCGGCAACGAACTTGTAGGACATGTAGAGTGGAAAGAAAAGGGCTTTAGGAGAATTGAGAGATACCAGATGGACCCAAAAGTCAGTCTGTCTCAGATCTCCTCTATGTCATGATAATATCAACAATAAATGATAACCCACTGACCATCAATTTATCACTTATTGTTATTTATCATCACCATCATTTATTCAGCACCCGCTGCGTGCAGGGCACTGCACCAACAAGCAGTTTACAATTATTCTGCCACTTTGTGCTCACAACAACCCTGGCAGGTCAGTGCCTTCATCATCCCCATTATATAGTTAAGGAAACTGAGGCAGAGAGGGGAAGTGACTGGCCCAGAGACACACAGTTAGCAAGTGGCTGAGGCAGGATTTCCACTTGGAGCCTCTTGATTTCAGGCCTAGGGCTCTACGCACTGCCCCACCCTGCTGGTCGTGTAATACAAGCGAGGCCAATGGAAGACAAGGGGGCTTTCTCTCACAACTCATTTTCTGAAAGTTGTGTGGAATTCTTTTGGAAGAAAAGAAAAATCCAAGAATCAAAAATGCTCCCACAGAACATGTTCTACAATATTCCACAGGAAACCCACCACTGCCTGTGGACGGTTTTTCTAGCAGGTCTGAGCTCACTGTAGCACTTGATGTTTATCGAACATCCGATGCCCCCGTGGGGCCTCCGCTGGGCGCACTTGGGGGGGCTCCGCCGGGCGCACTCGGGGGGCCTCTGCCAGGCACACTCAGGGGGTTCCGTCAGATGCCCCGCATGCTCACGGTGCTGGGGTTACCCATACAAATGCGCTTTCTAATTACTCAAAGTGTGATGACAAAGATAATGTCACGGTAACCGAGTGGACATACGCACCTCTGAATCAAAGTCCATGAGCAGCACGATTTTGTCTTGGATAGCACTGAAGAGATTGTGCTTGTGAATCAGCTGAAACACGTCTTTGTGGCGGAGCATTAAGTAGATCTGGAGAGCTTGGCTGTAGCTTTTATCGTAAGTGTACCTAAGAATGAAAGGTCAAACAGCCAGTCAGTCAGCGAGCACTTCCCAAGCACCAGCCGCTGTCGGGAGCTGTGCTGAGCGCCGGGGAGCCAAAGGAGGCCAGGCCAGGCCGCCTGCCTTCAGGAAGCCTGCGCTCTCTCGGGGGGTGGGCGGTGGGTGGTGGGTGACCAGTACAAGCTGTAAAGCTTTGAGAACTGCACAAACAAAATAAGCATGAGGCAGTTTTTGCAGGGAGGGCCGATCTTTTGGTCGGGGGTAGTCAAGAAAGGCATCGTGTGGAATTAGCATTCAAGTTGATTTTTGAAGGAAAGAAGAGATTCTTAAAGGAAGAAGGAAAAAAGGACAGTGCCGCAGGCATGAGGGACAGCCAGGGCAAAGGCACGGAGGCAGTAAGGCCAGTCTGGGGCCAGAAACCCTATCTGCTGCTGATAGATGATCGGCTAGCAGATGTCAATCTGGGAGCTGAGCAGAGGATGGACTGATGTGAGGAGACCCTGGGGCAGGGGCCTGCTGGGCCAGATTTGGAAACTGATGAGACATGCTGGGTGACGGAGGAGGAGGGGCAAGGACGACAGGTTCTGAGCCCTAGGCCCTGGAAGCCTGGAGGTGCTTGGAGGAGCTAACGAGCACGGCTCTGCATGTGCCACACTGGAGATGTCTGTGAAACATCTACTTTGGAAGTCCAATGAGCAGCTGGTGCCATGGGCCTGGAGCCCAGGAACCAGGCTAAGATGTGAAACAGGGATGTGTGCTCATCTGCAAGAGATGAAAATTAAACCCCAGAACTGATGAGGGGAGAGAAGGGAAGAAGGCCCAGCACAGATAAGATGTCTTTAAGTTAAAAGTCATCTAGAATTCTAATTTCAAAGACGAAAGAGGTATCATAACAATAACTGGGGCCATTTAGACACAAAATGGTTCTTAGGAATGGCCTGGCATTAATGGTGGACATGAAACAGAGAATGAAGAGGGAGGGAGTATAGTACAGGGTAGAGAGTACCAGACTGAGGTCGGGTCTGAGTGAAATGACCTTGGAGGAGGAGTCTCTGGACCCCACAGTCTTCACTGGTAAAAACGCGGGGTTGGCCAGAGTGACTGCCGAGGTCCACACCAGCCCCAACACTGGTTTGATTCCTTCTTTCACTCTGAACCCTTGCTTTCCTTCTACAAAAAACTGGCCTTCCTAATCCTCGTGCTGAATCATTACTTTTGTGGGGCTTTAACGTAATTTCTGATGGGCCACGGATGCATCTCTGTACTCCCAAGGACCCCAGGTTCAGAACATGCCAGCTTCTCCTTCTGCCAGGAGGGCCCATGCCTCGAGGAGGTGTGACAGCGACCTCGGCCTGGGTGAGTGACCTTGAGACCTCATGGCAGCCCTGACCCCCTTCTTTCATCGTAAATCAGAGGGGCCATTTTATCACAGCACAACCGAGCCTGGTCTGCAGCTAATTAAAAATAGCTTCATTCCTCCAGGCAGGGAAAACTGGAAACTCACAGAGGACCTCAGTTTCACACTTATCCCATTGGTGAAGTATGAAAAGAAAATGATCATGCAACTATACGCTTAAGTGGGTAGGCGTTCCAGGTCAATAATCTACATGAGAGACGGGAGGGAGAAAAAAATCTGACATTTTCTCAAGTAAGTTGCAAAAGACCCTCAAGAGCCTGCTAAATGAGGAGCAGAAGGCCTGGTCAGGACAGAAGCACGCTCTCACAGCTCGGCCAGCGTTCGCAGCAAGGTCCTGTTCTGTGGGTCCTTCTTGAGGTGGTCCCGAACAGCCTGCACGATGACGGAGTTGTTGTAGAGGTCACCGGGCCACTCTCGGATCAACGTGGCAAAGCCCTAGGAAAAGAGGAAGGGAAGCTGCAGAGCAGCTCCTTACCCAACAAGGGTCCACCAGGCAGTCTCCCTCCCAGGAGCCTGGGCCTCCCAAGGCAGCCTGACACCCAGACTCAGAGCTGGCAGGGGTACACACAGAAGGAGCTGGAACAGAACTACGCCACTAAAGGACCCGCCTGGCGCCGTCCCTGCTGGTGTGGCTCCTGCAATCTCCTAGCCAGGGAATGGTCTGGTGGGGTCTGCAAAGCCCTCCAGCCCAGAATCTGCAAGAACTCAGCCACCACTAGGTGCTGGACAAGAGTGAGAAGGGCCGCCCCTGTCTGGATCTTCATCCAGGCTGTGCCTCTTGTGGGATGGGCTCTGGCAGCAGCTGGAGACAATACGAAGGTCCCGATGGCCCCACCTACTTCACCACCAGACTGACCGCTGCCAGGCGGCTGTTCTGCACCCAGTGAGAGCTCCTGCCCAGGTGAACTCCTCTGACCAACCACTCTGATGCTCTCAGTCCAAGGGGACACTGGAGAGAGTGGACAGAAGGGTCACCAGGGCGACCTCATCTTTTCAGGCAGTGGCCTGTAGGGTCTGGTGAAAAGGCTGGGCCCATAAGTCCTGACTAGCCCATATTTTCAGATGAAGAGACTGTAAAAGGGAAGGCCCAGAAAGCCAGTGAAGGAGGAAGGAAGGGAGGGGCCATGGACTCGGCCTACCCATGGGCAAGGGCACTCGAAGAAAGGCTGAGTAAGGAAGGAGAGCATGGTTGGGACGCCAGAGGGCAGAGGGGTCCGACTCGCAGACACAGGGCCCATTCTGCAGGCTGCAGACTGACCTGCAAGGAGATGAGGCCGGGGCCAGGGTGCAGTGGATAGAGCGCTAGACAATCACTAGACTGTGAGCCACCCCCCCCCCCCCCCCCCCCCCCCGGGCAATGGCTAGCTTTCGCCTGTCTTTGTATCCTCCGTGCTTAGCACATAGTAGGTGCTCAGTGATTGACTAAATGACCTGGAGTGAGGGCTTGGAATGTGAATCCACCTACAAAGCTAAGGGACTTGCTCACCTAACCCCCTTTGGCCTCAGTTTCCCTATCTGTTAAATGGGGATCATAACTGGATCAAAGGATCCCGTGGGATCAGAATGGGATCTGTGATTTCCTTAGCCTAAGCGGCTCCCCAGTGAGGAAAGTCCTCCACTGGGCATTCAAAGCCCTTCAGAGCCCCCTCACCTTTCCAGCGGCCTCATCACCTTCTACTGTTCCCCTCGCTCCACTCCAGGCTCACTCTTTGGTGAATCTAGTACTCGGTGCTAGACTTTGTAGCTGTGACATCCCCACCCCACCCCACTCTTCAGTCCCTGGCTTTATCAAGCTGTGAGCCAGGGGACAGGGGCCCCCAGGCCAAGTGCTCCTTCCTATTGGTGGCCTTCGCCTTGCACCAGGGAACCTTCAAAGGGAAGGGGGCTTAGCTGAACTCAGGACACTTCTCCACATAAATTAGGCCACGACCTTCCTGGCATGTGACACGCTCACCAACGATTTAAGACAGCTGCAGAGGCTGTTTCACCTCCGCTTTTACTAGCCAAGGCTCTAGGCGAGCTCCTGGGGCTCCAGACCCAAGACCGTCCTTAGCTCTCAGGATGGCACAGAAAGCAGCCGAGGAGCAGTGTGCATCCTGTCTGCCCAGTCAGGCAGGGTGAGTCTCTTTAGGAGGAAACAAGGGAGTAGGATCGTGTTAAGCTCTGGTACCTCATAGTCACTCTCCAGAAAATCATGTAGGATCATTTCATAGATGAGAGGCTTCAGAATGGGATCCCCTCTTGGCAAATACGGGCTAATCGCCTACAGGATGGAAGGGAAAGGAAATGAGGGTTAAAACAAACAGAAGCAAAGCTCAACTTTTCACAACAAATCACATTTAACTTTTTGAGTTCAGAGCTCAAGGCACAGAGGAAGTGGAAATGTCCATAGGTTTTCTTGACGTGTGTTCCCCTGGAGGTGTCGGGGGTCCTGTGGCTGGGACCACGTGCAGACGACACCGTGCTATCGGTATCACCTCTGGGAAGAGAACTGCGACCCCTCCAAAGAGCTGGGCCTCATGGGGGTGACGACCGTCTGTTGTCGCGATCACGACACATGGCCAGATGAAATCTTTCATCATCTAGTGGAGGACAGGCACTGAAGATGGACAAGACCCTGGGCCCAGACGTCTTGGCCTGCACTGCCTTTGGGAAATGTCCCAAGACCTTAGGATGCTACTTGTCACAAAGGCCACCTTTTTAATCCTGGTGTTCTTCTTCTAAGGCCGTGTGGTCATGCAGCATGGTGTGAATGTGGTGTGAACAGCCTCGAAGTTACTGCTGACCCAAAGGGCAATGGAAAGAGGGATGGCCCAGAATCAGGAGAAGCGTGTCTGAATTCTTCTTCAGACACTGATTAGCTGTGTGATCGCCACACTTGTTTCTTCATCTATACAGTGGGAATGGTAATAGTTTGGCTTCCAACTTCACAGACCTGTTGGGAGTAAAAGTGCTTTGCACACCTTGAGCAGCTGTGGAAACGTGAGCTCTGGCGATGGGCCTAAGTCAGCCACAGCACATTCTGAGGATAGACGTGCATACAGAAGAAGCGTAAGAGAGACTGTGCAAGAAACAACAGGGCCAGGTTGGTCTGCCATGCCAGGCACCGCCCTGGTCTGTATCGAAGGGAGAGGCACTGTTTTGGGGGCAGAAAGGAAGGCTTTCAGTGCGCCAGACAGAGGCTCAGGGGAGGATCTCCGGGTGGACGTGGCCAAGAGCTGCTTAGGTCACCAGGGACCCCCACATGAATGTGATGCCCACTTCACTGATACCGTGGTGTGTGTTGGAATGTGCTGCTCTGCTGCGCCCCTCATGGACGACGGTGAGTGAACAGGTGAATCCTTTGGGGACCACCTTGTGACAAGGAGAATCTGTGCACTGAGTTAGGCACATATGATTTACTGCCAGGCTGCTTGGTAAAACATTTTCATTTTGGGAGAACCAGCCAGACTTTGAGTTCAGTTGGGCCAGCCAGGGAGAACCCTGTGAGCCCCAGCACTGTCCAAACACGTGCCACTCTCTGGCCAATCTATGCCCTTCATCCCCTTTGTTCTGTGGGAGTCCTTAGGCTTTCACAAGGTCAAAACTGCTGGGGCCCCAAACCGTGTGGGAGGGGAGCATGAGTCATCAGCAGCGTGTTGCTAAGGCATATATACAAATGATGGTGAAAAAGACATCATTATGGACTTGAAAGGGAGGCAGGCCAGTCACCGAGCAACGGGACAGAGGGACAGCACGGGGGATGACCTCCAAGGAACACGAAGAGGGCCAGAGCAAGCCTCCCGTGCACAGACAAGTGCCCCCCAGAGCACCGAAGGACACACGCATGCGCCCCACAGGAGGAGAGGGTTGGCACTGACAGAGTCCCACGCCCATCAGACTATCAGCTAAGAACCCACGAGGCTGTGTGCGTATTCCAAGGGCCACCGGAAGGAAATCCAGACTTCCAGGCAAGCCTCATCCTGCAGACTGGGGCTCCCTTTCTACTGAACTCTTCTTACACCCTCCATAATTACACATAACGTATCTGGGTGAGGATGGGGGACAAACCAGGCCAATATCAAAAGTGCTGGCTGGAACCAAGTCACCTCATTCCTCTCATCATGCGGCCACTGACAAAGGCAGAAACACAGCACTGGAAAAAGACTCTCCTTCAGCAAACCTGGACACATTTTGTACTTCACAGTCTGCTGCACGGCACAGACAGAAACAAAAATAAAAACCGTCTCTCGACTCTAATATTGCATGGAAAATGTCTCTCCTCCATTAAAAAGCACTTCCAAACTTCATAGGAAAATGGACTCAGTCTCCTTCCCGGGCAGAACTGAAATGAAGCCTCATACAACACATGCAATGCCAGTGTCTGAGATGGCTCAAAGGCACCGAACCAGGAAAAATCCTGATAAAAGACAGCATTCTACTCCCACTAGCATGACTCTAAAGAAAGCCATTTCTAAAACCTGTTAGAATGAAAATACCTTCAACCCTGAAGAAAATCAAATGGCTCAAAATCAACTATGCACTGTATTCTGGAAAGATCTTCATATGCCCTTTTTGGATTACTGAGTTTAAATAGACATAAGGCAACTCCTGGCTGTTGGGGGTGGGAAGGGAATGAGGGAGAGGAGGAGAGGAAGAGGAAGATAGAGAGGACAGAGAGAGGAAGAGAGAAGGAAAGAACAAGAAAGGGAGAGGAAGTGGGGGGGAAGTGAGGAGGAAGAGAGACACAGACAGAGACAGAAAGGAGGAAAGAAGGGGAAGGAAGAGAGAGAGAGATACTAAGGAAAAGAAAAGAAGGTGTAGTGGATAGCACTGAATTCCAAGTTACCAACAGTATCCTAACATATCCACTGAGGGAAAGAATCAGAGTAGCTATCCTCAGTAACAATACCTGGCTCCTTCGTTAATAATAAAATTGCACAGGAAGCAGCCAAGATCTTCCTCCTCTTCCTCTGGTATTCACAAAAGGCACTCACTCCCACACAGCCATAAGCTCACTGGGGAAAGCAGAGCTTCTATCAGATAATGCTGCCATCTTTTCCCCCTGTGTCTTGTGCATTTTCATCCACTTCTTCCCAAAGGTGGTCCACAAGAGATTCACCTGAAGTCCTAGACAGCTCCCCAGGACCTGCGGCACTGTCTGGCCACCAGTGAAGCCATCAGCTTCCTAACTGAGGCATTTCCTTTTCCCCACGATTTCCTTTATGCCCCTTTTTGCACAAAAGCTCACTGTTGGATATAGGAGCCACTGAAGTTTGGAGGCCTTCTGTAGAGCCCACATCTACACCTGAAGTCCCATTTCCTGCTCCCCATTCTGCCCTCATGGGACCAAGGGCAAATATCATCCTTCTTCCACAGAAGAGCCTTGAACACTTGGATACAGCCATCATGTCCCTGTTCTTCTCTGGACAAAAGCTTACACATCTGCTCTTTCAGGCTAACCAAACCTAATTCCTTCAGCGCATCCATTTCCACAGACGGCATGACGTCCACTCTGCACACACAGGACTCCTTACTGTTCTTCCTAAAATGCGGTGCCCAATCAATCAACAAGCATTGATGAAGTAGCCACCTGTGTGCCAGGCACTGAGGGCATTCAAAGAACTGAACCCAATAATCCAGTGTGGTTTCCCCAAACCTTGGTGACACATTCCAGAAGCAAAGTCAATCGGATAGTCTAGAGACTTCAATGCTCATCAGCATTTTGGAGCATTGCTACAGCCATGTAAATCTCCCTAATTCTTCATAATCTTTTGATGAAATGATCCTTGCTAGTGGCTCTTCAGCCACACCTACCGAGGCTCTACTCACTCTGTCCTTTGTCCTGCAAAGATCCTTCTCTTAGGGGGAGAAAACGGAAGTGAAAGGAGGTGAGTGGTTCTGCCTCGTCTCCATCATCCCCTCCCTTTTCCTTCTCTCCTTCCAGTCGTGGCTCAACCATTTCTGATGCTTTTTTTGAAACACAGCCACAAAAGCCCTTTCTGTATCCTCAGAAGTCACTGCTGGCGGCAGCTCATTCATAACCTGATTGTTTTGGAAACTCCTCAGGCAGAACGATGCAATGCCCTGACACTCATCCCCTGTGGCCGTCCTCACATGCTTGAGGAGTTCCTGATGCATCCACACCAATTTCTTTGGAAAATCACCTCTTTTCTTCACGAGTGGCAATGCTGCTCTGTCTTCAGAATTCCATTCTTGAGAGAGCTCCTTCTATCTTGGGTTGACTTGACATGATTAAGCCATGGGATCTTATTCCAACAGTGACCTTCTCTGAACACTTGAGATCTGCCCTTCTAAACTGAAAGGTACAGATCACTCTGTGCCTGGCTTTCTTCTCCTCTATCACGAACTTGAAGATGCAGTGGACGCTTCCTCCCAAGGTTTCCAGTGTTTCTGGGCAATCATCTTCTCGTTTTAGGTTGGATTCAAGTCTAGAATACATGTGTCTTTGGTCTTTTCCTCGACCAACAGAAGGAGAGAATCCCAGCCTGGGAAGTTGAGTAGGGTTTTCACTGGTCCAGTGTCTAGCCCAGCCTCTACGACAATTTGGTAGCAGGAGCAAGGTCAGAGAACCCCATCACTCAGGTATAAGACACTTCTGTACTCGTGGAGAGGAGCCAACCACACCTGGTAACACACTTCAAGGCTTGGTCATCAGCACACACAGCTCGGCAGAACTTCCAACCCAGGAGGGATGGGCCATGAGCACAGAAGGCCAGCCAGAACCACAGGCACACAGCCCAGAGCAAAGCTGGGGAGGACAAGGTTGCAAATATCTTCCCTTTGGGCAGAGGTATGAGGAAGTCGTGTCGGACAGTTAAGTGGGACTCTCTTCTTCAGAACTGCCTCTGCTAGAATGCAGCCCCATGGGAAATCCATCCATGCTGAGGAGACCCAGGCAGAAAGGACATAGTGAGTACTGCCCTGGCCCAATGCAGAGAACGGGCTCAAGGAGGCCTCACCAAGCTGTCCCTGGTGATTTCATTGGTTAGGAAATCCCCTTTCCCAGCGTAGATCAGCACTGGCCCTGAACCTCTGGTCTGAGAGATGTGCCTGGGCACCAGAGTGGGTGGTTCCTCAGGGTCACACAGAGTGAGCATCAGAAGCACAGTGACTGTGGGAGAGAGATGCCGGCCTCAGAGCCAGGGGGATGGAGTTTCAAGCTCTTCCTCTGGAGTATAGTCAGAGACTACAGGCCTACAAATGTCCAGTTCTAAGCAGAATGTAGCATATGAGGTAGATAGATAGAAATTAGTTTGACATACCTTAAGCTGTCCTATTTCTTTAAATTTGTAAACTTCATATTCCCAGAGAGCTGCATTTTTCCCCAGAACTTTCTGACATTTGCTGGGAATGAAAACATCATAGAGGAAAAAACGAGTGAGTGAAAGAATATATAGAGAATGTGCAAAACAGCATTTTCCTATTTTGAAAAACAGTTATCATCTACTTACTTACTTTTCATGTACTTTAGGTTTATAAATATAAATATATATATGAATGTATATGTATGTACATGTATATAATTGTACACCTATATATCCCATACATATATATTGTAGACAGACATGTATATGTGTGTGTATATACGTGTGTGCACACATACACATACGTACACATGGAATCTTTACTACCCAAGTGGTTCTCTTTTCAAACTTTTGGAGCCACAAAAAGATACACATATACATGTATACACACACACACACAAATCTATATATCACTTTGCCAATGAATTGACTCAATTTTTCTGTTTGGGAGAAAATGCACAGTAAAGTCCATTTATCTGATCCACTTGAAGGAATTCAATTATGTGATTCCTGAACCACAGTTATTTGGGGTTTTCTTGGCTAGGCAATGGGGTTAAGTGACTTGCCCAGGGTCACACAGCTAGTAAGTGTTATGTGTCTGAGGCCAGATTTGAACTCAGGCCCTCCTGAATCCAGGGCTGGTGCCCTATCCACTGTGCCACCTAGCTGCCCCAGCCACAGTTATTTGTTTAAGTCACTTGATGCATGTTGCAAATTATACTACTGGAGTGGCCTGAGAAAATCATAACCCTATCAATAGTTACCTGTAGAATGGAGATATTCAGAAAAACTTACTTTACTTCAAGTAATTTCAGGGTTCCTAAAATAAAGTCTCGAGAGCAGAGCCCAGGCCTCCTGCTCCTCTTGGATCTTGGGACCCCCTTATTATCTCCCTAAACCCCATAACCACTGACTATGGACCCCAGGGAGGACTGTAGCCAGGCTTCCTTGGGGCTTCTGCTGTCCATGGTACTGACCATTCACTCACTCTGGACTCATCTCTTTCATTAGATCTTAGCCAGTTTTTCCTCTAACTGGGGTAAATTCTTTGGCAAAGGCAATGCAGTTGGTGGTTATATAATACGTGGTGGCCCAAGAACCTTCTTTTCCTTGTTGGAGTCCTTACTGTCCAAGTAGTTCCTTTTTCAAACTTTTGACCAAATTCCTATCAGTGCAGGTGAAAACCTGTCTCTAGTCTATTCCTACACCAAAATGGTGACTGTGCCCAGGAGGCTGCAGGAGCCACCAGAAGCGGCCTTACCGGGCTGCCATATCATGCTCGCCTTTCTCCACCAGGTGACTTATATAGGCCAGGCCTATGTCCTGAGGAAGATAAATGAAGACATCCCATAAGCCTGCATAACAACTTCCAAGCCCAGACATGTGAAGAGTATAATTATAACACGGCAGGTTTTCTGGCTTGTTTGCACTCAAAGGTTCAGAGATTTGGAGCCAGAAGGGACCCTGGAGGTCATCTGGTTCAATTTCCTCATTTTATGGATGAGGAAACTGAGGCCCAGAGAAGGTAAAGGACCTGCCCGAGGTGACCCAGCTTACCAGTACTGAAGGCAGGATCTGAACCCGAGTCTTCCTGAATCCAGGCCCAGTGCGCCAACATTAAAAGCTCATCTTATTTCTGAGATCCCCAGACTAACCATTTCAGCCTTTTTTCTCAGGTATATCACACCCAAAGCTCTCACAATACTCTCCTCCTTGCAAGAAAAGCGTTTTTCTGCAACTACTTTCTGCTTTCCGAGTTTGGTTCACACAGAAGGTGGGGCTGATTTTTGGAATGAACATGAACTAAAGGTGGTCATTCTCTCTTGCCACCTGGGGATGGCTGCCGCCCCCTAAAAGCTGTTCTTTGTCCTGGGATAAGCTGCTTATGCTCGTGCCTCAGCTTCCCGGATGGGAAATGCGAGCTGCCTCCTCTGTTCCAGTCCTGGCTGGGGAACGAGAAGAGATGTTCTGAACTAGGAAAACGGTAGCGCTACCCTCTGACAGGGGGATCATGCCCCATTACAACAGAGTAGGTGCAACGCTTAATTCCTTCAGCTTGGCCGGGTGAAACTTTGTAATGAGCACACGGTTCTCTCGTCTATAGCGGTGAGCCGTCAAACAGAGCAAATGAAACCAGGTGGTAAATTATCAAGCCCCCAGAATGGGCTTTGAATAGAGAGAAGGAAGAGGTGGGCCTTGACTCCCCCTCCCCCAGTGTCTCCTCAATCATTTGATGTCTCCTGTGGTTTCTAGAGTTTTATTGGCGCGTTTAAGGGACAGGAGGATGGAGGAAGGGCAATCTCTTACTGCCGGTGTCTAAGCTGAGCAACAGGGTGGCAGTGAGCTTTGTCCTCAGTTTCCTTCTCTGTCAAATCAGGGCTTACATGAAGTGACCACCTCTAAGGTGCCATTCTGCTTTCAAGTCAATCCTGCTCCCCTCGTCCTGCCCCGCCCTGCTCCCCCTACCTTTAACCTTTACAATGAATTTAGCCAAGGGGACATGCACCTCAAACTATACTTTTCTTCTTAAATGAAAGGGATTTTGAAAAACTCATGTGAGGAGAATATATACTATAAATAATTCAGTAACATTAGAGCAACAAAGCTCTGCTGTATGCTAAGACACAGAAACAGGGCTTTTCTCCAAAGCACTGTACTTGAGCAATCTCGCCAGAATGGATTTTGCTTGTCTTCTCTAGGCACTCACACCCAGAAAGCTCCTTACAGAAGGGGCTTCTCACAGTCATGACTTACCAGAGAGCTCCCATGGTTAGCATCTTATTCTCTAAAACTGCCCTGTAAGGAGATCTTATCCTCTCTCGTTACTTCTGGCAGTGAATGGTCAAGCAGCTTTTATTCAGCATTACTAGGTCCCGACGAAATGAATTCCTTCAGCCCTGGAGATGACTAACACTAGCCTGAAGCCTCTCTAGTCTTCACAGCGGGCTTTGTCTCCCACCATAAACTCCAGACAGCAAATGCTGTAGCTCAACAATGGTGTCTGTACTCACCAGAATCTTGTGTCTTTTAATATTTCTTTGGCTAATTTCAGCAGCCATCAAAGCTTCCTATATGTACATAATCAGAGAGAAAAAAGAGAAAGAGAGGCCTAAGTGGAGCTTACTTTTTTGTATGACACCTAAAGTTCTGAACCACATAAATGAGGCATCTGCTTTTTTATTTCCATGGGCTTTGTTTGAGGACTTTGAATATCACGGTTGAACAACATCTCTGAAATTAAATTATGAAACAGAAGCAGTCAACTAAAAAGGAGGCTGCTTCTGTTTTCATCAGGGGTCACTGCGCTGGGACCAAAACCCTGCAGATCCAACACAATCTACTAGTTAATTCTAAAAGAAAGTTCACTCGGCATCAAAACGCCCCAGAACAGGCTGAAAACGGCCCTTTTAGGTTCTCCTTCTGTTGTGTATTTCCAGCCAGGTGGCTTTGCCCTGCCCCTCACACCCACCAGCGGTATTTGCAACTTCTACATCTAGAAACAGATGGCCTGATCCCATCGAGTTCTTGACATCTGGGAAGTTTTACAGGTCTATCTCTGCCAATCAGAGCGATGTCTGAAATAGAATTGTTCCTCAACAATCTTAACAGGAACCGGAAACACTCAGATTGATCACAGGCTTTCGGACTGGGAGGTTTTTACTTTTCAGTGCAACCCTGTGGGAACTAATGAGGTTGTGAAGCAGCAATTCCACACGTGGACAACTCAAATAATTCTTTCTTTCTTCTGTTTTTTTTTTTTTTACAACATAAAGTGACCTATTTCATAAAAGCCTTTGATGAATACCCAGGTGGATCACTTTAGGAGGCTAACAACATAAAGGCTGTTACAGAGCAATTTAAGTGAAGAAATAAGTGAACACCTTTTGTTCTCCGATTCTTTAATTTTTCAGCCTTCCCTTCCAATCAATGTGAACCAAGCACACACATTTCTTTCCCTTTAGATAAAGTGGTTCTACCACCTTTGTTGGTATTAAAGCTGGGAAGATCATCTTTACTTTAAAAGAACAGTAGAATAGCCCCATCTTTGCTTCATCTGCACTAAGCCTCTCCGAACTGGTCAGCCAGCGTTCTGTAATTTTTTTCTCCTGACGCTCAGCTGCGCTTTGAAATCTCCACTGGATTTACGTTTTGGGGTGTGCGCTGGCGTATCAGATGAGAGCAGGTCTCATGATTTCAGCAATCTCTAAAACATTCATTCATTGCAATGACAGCCTGAAGAAGAGCTGGCTGTGCCAAGCTCAAGGCTCTGCTTCCCTTTTTGCATCCTAAGAGCTCATGTAATACTTGCAATTCAAACAAAGCTCATTTTAAAAAGCAACAAAATTTCCCCAAATTACTTCGTATTTCTTCTTCTCAAGGAGCCAGTCGATGTGATCATCTTGGTCCCGTTCCTTGGCCACGACGACATCTCTAGGGCTGACAATATAAAAGAGCGATTCACCTTCGGAGTACTCTGCAGACAAGGGAGGAAGGGAGGCTGTTAAAGAAATGCTCTTTGTCTAAAGAAACAGCACGCCAAAGAGGCAGGATCCCACACCTGAGTGCTTTCCACTCAAAGATGGCTTTTGATGCTCCATGTCCCAATAAATTTAAATTCTGACTTCAATTGCAACACAGTATTCAAAACAGCCCATTCCTTCCTGCGTGTTCTGATTCATCTACCGTGTATAAACTTTATTTATGGCCATTTATAATGCGGTTCTACTTTCACAGGACAATTACGCTGCATAGCCAGCAATAAACGTCCCTGCGCCATCAAGGTCAAGGCCATAGAAAGCGTCAGTGATAGATGCCACCCCCCCCCAGGGGCACAATACATCACACAGGCTGGTATTTACAAGGTGGCCTGTTAGGGCTGCATGGGGAATTCAATTATCAAACCCCAGTTCTGAAGGGTTTGTAAGCAGGTGGCAAAGTTGGCTCTGAGCAAAAACAGAACATGATGCCTTCCGGCTGAAGAGCAAGGTGGAAAAACAACCTCATGGTTTTCTCTTGTTTGAGGCTCCCTGCAAAAAGAGGAGGCAGGAAGCATCCTCACCTTCTCGGTCCCCACTACCACATCTCCGCTTATGGATCAGCAGAGGGCTTAAAGGCATCCATTCACCAGAGTTTGGCCTGGAAACATCCCAACCAAACGGCAGGTTCGGTCATCTGGCCGCGGGGGTTCTGATTCTGGCTTCTTTTTACTGTGCCTGTTATGGGTCCCTATGACTTAGCAGGCTTTCCCTCCTTATCTTGTGGCCCCCAAACCAACCTCCCACCGTTCGCCGTGGCAACAGCAACAGAAACAAATGTAAATTAGACATTTCAATCCACCCCTATTTATGATGCAGAAATTGGGCACGATTCAAAGATAGTTAAGAGACCGCAGGAGGCGGCTTGGCTGCGGACAAACAGCGGCAGCAGCTGAACCTGTGGTTCTTTGCTCTTTCTCAAACATTGCGCCATTTGCTCTGAACCATCAAGCAGGGGCAGGCTGTAGTTAACGTCTTCCCGTCCCATCCTACAGAGAAGCGGGCCGAGGCTCAGCAGTGGCAGCTCCCAGTCAGGAGCGCCAAGCGGACAGCACCAGAACTTGAACCCACATCTGTGGACTCTGAGCTGGGGCCCTTTCTACTACAGCCGACTACTGCTCTGAATGCACACAGTGACATGACGACACGGGCTGAAGCATCCGGGTGAAATGAAGTAAAATGAACCATGACACGTATGTGGGTGCATGTGTATGCACAGATAACTACGTATACAGGCATAAACGTGCACACACACACATAACATACAGGACAAACTACATAAGCATATGTTATATATAATACACACAGATAAAACAGACACAGACACATACACAAATATGAATTCATTCATTGCGTTTCTAGGCGAAGAGTGCCTTTACAAGAAGAAAACCAAAGTCGTGGAGGCCTCCAAGAATTAAAAAGCGCCTGTCTCTGCCCCTTCTCACCCAGGTGGTAGTCTCTGCATTCATTCTCCTGAAAACCTCTCACTGTCAGGGCGTCGGAAGAGATCTCTTCACAGGTCTCTGGAAGCGGCTGAATAATGTCCAATCTGGGCCGGGCACAGTATTCCCTCTCCTGTGGGAAAAGGAGAGAAAAGCCCCTTTGTCACACAACCACAAATTACCCAAATGGCTTCTTCTCAAGCCCAACAACCGCTGATCTGCACCCTCCCTAGGATGGGGAGCTCAGGGAGGTCCACGAACACTGGCTTTCCCACACTTTCTCAGTTCACTTTCAGATCAATGCTTGAGTGTCTGATTTGTTAGGAGAAAGAAGTCTGAATCTCTGGGACTGATGGTCCTCTGTCCAGGCTTGGGCTCACCCAGGGCACTGCACGGACACCCAGGGTTAGAGGACCTAAGGCAGAGCACCAGATGACTGTAATCCTTTGGAGGGGGAACGTCTGCCTGAATCGGGGGGCTGCTGGGAAGACTGAAGAAAACGCCCACAGACAAGCTCTGTGAACTGGCAAGCTTCATACAAACACAAAAGATGGTCTCAGGAGCCAGACTGGCCTATGTGCTGCTTTTGTATCTCCCACTGCTGTGTGAGCACTGGCTGTACCCCATGCCTGGAATGTTCTCCCCTCATATCCTGGGTGCTGAGAATCTTTAGTTTCCTTCCAGAATCAGCTGAAGTATGAGATGAGGAGGAAGGCATTTCCTGGTCCTCCCTGCTGCGAGAGCCCTGCCCTCTAAGCTTCCCTTCCTTCTACTCTGAACGTCTTCTACACCCCCCCACCCCGCTGTCTCCCCATCAGAATGCAAACCCTTTGAGAGCAGGGGCCACTTTTGCTTGGGTCTTTCTAGCCTCAAAACTTAACCCAGGGCCTAGAACAGAGGGCAGCTTAATTAATGCTTTCTGATTGACTGATTGGTTTTCCAAAATTATAGAAAACTATGATTAAACTGCTGTCATCTGAGCCACGGCCACCAGGGGAAGTGTACTTTTTGGCCACTTTTGGGAAGGAGGGGTTAGAACACAAAGCCCATCGATCAGGGCCCGAAGCCCGTGAAAATCAGCCAGAGTCACGTAGCCTGACCTACCCTTTCCTTTTGGACACATTCCTCAAGTCCTACAAGCTTCTACTTGGGGAACTAATGTCCCCTTTGGTGGTTAAAAGAAAACAAAACGAAAAACCTCAAAAGACAAACACCACCACCACTGATGCCCCACCCTGATCCAGTCCCCAAACACAAAGCCTCTTGGCTAATATTAAAGATGGCACCCTGAGCTTTCTTCCCGCTTGGGAAACTCTCTTTTCCCAATGTGTTCCACAGGCTTGGCCAGGTAAGGTTGTGTCCTCCTGCTTCTTGCTCTGTTCTAAGTCCTTTCCAATAATGCTTTTCATTAACAAAGGCTTCTGCCGTCCTTGTCAATTATTTATTAAGTTTTTCCTTTTTTCATTTGACCTCTTCGTTTCTTGCTTTCTTTTTACTGTCCTCTCCCCTTCATGCGCATCATAACAGCTCCATGTTCATTCCCCTGGGAGCCACTGCTATTTTTTCCCTAAAATAAAATAATAAACTGATGTCCTGCAATAGGACTAGACGCGAACCCTATCGATTTCTGTAGGCTGGAGTGCTCACTTAAGCCTACAGCATTCCGTCGCCTAGCAACATGGGCATCCAGAGCTTCAGGTTACCATAGCAATGACTTCCTAATGCAAGTGCACCATCACAGAAAGCTTCCTGAGCATCTCCTCCTCTGAAAGCGAGGCTTCCAGGCTTTTTCATCCTCTTTAGCCCTTGTATTCAGAAATAAGCAAGACACAGACAATGAGAATCTACTACTAGGCACAGCTGCCCAAACCATTGTCCTTCCTTTTAAACACAGTTGCTGAAATCAAGTCTTTTCCGATCAATTCTCAGAGTCTGGACTCACCCATACTTTCTGATTTTCCTTCCCAGTTGTGTCCCTGGCAAGTAAGAGCAGGGCAAGGCTGGCAATGGGCCCATAGCAAGCTGGGAAAATTACTTCTGAGAGTGGCTGATTAGACTGCACTTCACTCCATAGCCAAAGGTAAAGACGTCCAGATTATGGGCTGTTTCGTCTAACTGCACTGCTTTGCCTGAACTTGCATGGCCCTAAAGAAGAAATATATGAGAATGCACTTTGCCATGCTCCTTCGCAGAGGTCAGGGTCCACGAGTGTGGAATAATGCACATTATGTCAGATTTTTTTCAGTTTCTTGATCAATTTTGCTTAATTCCCCTTTTAAATTCTTTGCTTTGAGGGAAGCAGGGTAGGGGGAAAAGAGAGGAGGAAACGTAAGTGATAGAAAAACACAATATCACAATAAAAGTCTATTTTAAAATCTATTTTTTTTAAGGCACAGACAAGTGAGACTAGGCTACATTCCATTTTAAAGTGGGAATATCCATTTCATCAGAATCCTTACACTATAAGGGATAAATGAGAGTGTCTGTAGCATAAGGAAAAATGAACTAACTGCCCTTTTAGTAATTCCCCTGACCCCCCTGCCGCTCGAGCCAATCGCATTCATGGTGATCATTTCTGCTAATGTACAATGTCAACTCCGTTTTTTCTAACGGTGAGAGGAATTCATCCCTTCTCTCACTCGGTGGGGGGAGGAAGAGTCAGTGGACACAAGAGAACAGAGCCTAGGGAAGGCAGAGATCTTGGTCTTCTGTGTAACTGCAGCTGACTTCATTTTCTGTGCCTGGGGGCTACAGTTAGGCCACAAAATACTCAGTATTTCCACAGAATTTTGTGTCGTGTTTAAAGTAACCTCCCAAGTGTCTGTATCAAAACACAGAAATCATTACCGTTTTGTCTGAGGTCTCCTGGACATACGAAAGCACCACGAGCTGGTCACAGAGAGGTGCAAGCCCACTGATGTAGAATTCCATGTCGAACTGAGACACTGCCAAAAAGCGGAGAACACAGGTCAGTTGCGGGGGAAGGGGGGGAAGGTGCGGTATCCATACAGCACCAGGAGCCATCCCCTCCCAAGCCACAGCCCAGTGACCAAGAAACCACCAGGCCTTCCCCCAGAAACGTGGTAGAAAAGCGGAGAGACAAAGACACCTACAAGGATTAGGAAAAAGTGTGTCTGGGAAGGCTGGAGAAGAAGTGACCATTGAGAAATAAATCTGTCAGAGTTCAAAAAGAAAAAAAAAATCACCTCTCAAAACATTCAACGAGAAAAGGCCAAGAAGATGATCTTAAAGCCAGTTAGGAGAGAAAAAACATCTAGAACCATTCAAAACATCAGTAAAAAGTCACTCAGATTATGACCAAATGGTGATAGGCTAGAAGGAGGGTGGGGAGCCACGCGTGGCCCTCTAGGTCTTCAAATGTGGCCCTCTGACAGAATCTAAACTTCACAGAACAAACCCCAAGAGCCGCATCTGAGGACCCAGAGGGCCACGCGTGGCTCCCCACCCACGGGCTAGACGCCACTCCCCGCTGGACAATGCCTGAAACCAGAAGAATTCACAAAAAGGCTGTTTTCATTAGCAGAGCATCAGTGTGGCTGCGAAGTGAAGTTCACAACATTCACCCTCATATGACCTACAGCTTTGTTTTTTTATTTGTGAGACTGGAGCCACTGTGTATACTGTTTCCTTGGCTCAGCTGACTTCTCTTTGCATCAGTTCATGTAGGTCTTTCTAGGCTTCTCCATACTCATCACACTCCTCCTTTCTCATAGCACAGCAGCATTCCGTTACATCCATGGACGGCCACTGGGTAGCCTCTCCCATGGCTTCTATCGAGTCTATCACAAAAAGTGCTGCTATAGACATTCTGGTGTATGGGGGGGCCCTCTTCTTACCCACAGCCTCCCTGGGGTATGAGATTAGTAGCAGAATTTCTGGGTCAAAGGGTATGGATAGTTTAGTCACTTTATTTGCTTAATTCCGAATTACTTTCCAAAATGGTTGCAAGGATTCATAGTTCCACCAACAGTGCATTAACGTGGCTCACATCCCACAATTTCTCCAACAATGACTACAGTTAACCCTTCCGTATCATCAGGGTGAGGGATGTAGCACCCCCACAATCTGAAAAATCCATGTAAAATTTTTTGGCTCCCCCTCCATACCAGAGAAGTCTGAATTATCATGGTTTTAAAAGATAAGATATGTTGATATTACACAGTACAATGCATACATTTTATGCACTTCTGAGTTTCTAACCCTTTTCTGCGCTGTCTGCTGGCCTTCGCATGTCCTCTGAGGCTTCCCCAAACTTCTCCAAAAATTCCCATTTAACTTCTTATGCTAACCGTCATATGTCGAGACTGCAACAAGGAAAGTCATGATGTGGCAGGGATGAGGTATTCCCATTTTTTGCTATCTCTGCCCATTTGTGATACATAACGAAAGCTCAGGGCTGTTCCGATTTGCATTTCTCCTAGCAGTAATGATTTGGAGCGTTCTTTCAAGGGGCCGTTAATAGTCTCTGATTCTTCTTTGAGAAATGTCTGTTTATATCCTTGGGTCCTCTCAGACTTTTCACACCACTCACAACCTGGCACCCGCCTGTTTCTGGCCTCACTGAACACGATTCCCTTTCTTATACCCAACTGGTCTTCTCTCTGTTCCCCAGTCAGAGTTCTCCATTTTCTAGAGCCCTCCCTGTTTGAAATGTCCATCCTGCTCATCTCCACCTCCAAGAATTCCTCTCTTCCTCCAAGTCTTGGCTCTACCGCTGTTCTGATCCCCTTCTCCCTTCGCACCTCCAGCTGTCCGTGCTCTCCTTCCCTAACTACATAGCTTGCATTTACTCTATATGCTTATACATCTATGTACATGTACACGTATACCATATATACTCCATATGTTATATATTGATAGACATATGCTAAATATCTCTGAGACACAGCATGACAGAGGAGATCAAGAACTGGTCTTAGAGCTAGGAAGACCTGAGTTCAAGGCCTGGCTGTGTGACAGTCAACCAGCATTTATTAAGCACCTGCTGCGTGCCTGAACCCCATGCTATACCCTGGGGGTACAGAGAAAGGTTAATGTAAATCAAAGTCCCTGCTCTGAAGGTGCTCACAATCTGATGGGGGAGACAAGATGCAGATGATGTCGTACAAACAAGCTACAGACAGATAAGCTGGTGCTCAGCTCCAGGGAAGGCGCTAGCATTAAGGGGAATCGGGAAAGGCGGGGCTTTAGCTGAGGCTGGAAGCCAGAAGCCGGGAAAAGGAGAGAATTCCAAGAATGTGGGACGGCCAGGAAGATGCCCAGAATCTGGGGGGGGGGAGGATCTAGGTCAGAGGTCAGTCAGTGCTTAGCTCGAGGAGGCCAATGTCACTGCATCACCAAGCCTGTGGGGGTGGGAGGAGAAAGGGGGCATTTGCAGGGCTTGAAAAGTCAAACGTTTGACCCTGGATGCAACAGGGAGCCAATGGAGTTGACTGAAAGTGGGTGGGGGGTGCGTCTCAAACCTGTACAGCCACGTCTGAGCTTTGGGAAGATTAGTCTGCGTTCACAGAACTGGACGAGGGAGTGGCTATGGGCTGGGGAGGGATGGCCAGGTTAGATGGGAGGAGGGTGGTGCCCTTAACAATAACAGAAAAGTTAGCAAGGGTGGAGGGTTTTAGGGGAAAACAACTATTAATAATCACAAAAGACTACCATGAGAAGAGCAAGCAGTGGGGCCTAAGCAGTGGTCTGAGAGGTTTGAGAAGTGAGGCAGATAACAGGCAAGATGGGGAGAGGCTGCTTAAACATCCAGACAAGAGGAGGAAGAAGCGGGAAATGGACGAACCTGCATTCAGTTAGAAGGCCCCTAATCCACCTCAGACGGGCTCTGAGGGTGTGAACTGTTAATTAAAGGCAGGTGAGCATGTTGGCTGCTCCTCCTAAGCAAAGGCAGGAAGACCAGTAAATCACTAGGCCTCACCCGGGAGCGGAGCAGCCACCAGCACCACACAGACGGCCACGAGGGCCAGCCTCGAATGTCACTAGCAAAAGTGACCGAAGAGCAGGCCTGCAGCCAGCAGAATCTTTAAGTGGTCCACAAAGGGTGGGGAGCGCTCATCTTTCTGCAGTGGCTGAATACTATGTCTATACAAAAGGCAGGGTACAGGGTGTTAGTCTGGGAAGAAAAGGCAGAAAGAGCCCTCCAACTTAACTGGAAGAAGGAAGTGTTTCTTGAAAACATCGAGGGAGGATTTCAAGATAAAAACAAAGAGGACAACAGACACGGCTCTTTGGTGACCGAGGACAATCAGGACTGGACTGGGATGGGGGCGGAGGGGGGTGCCAGTGGGAGAGGAGAAGGAGGGCCTGGGGATCAGCACAGTCATTTTGTAAAGTAATTGGGAATTATGCCAATCAAATGACCTTTGACCCAGAAATTCCACTATCAGTCACGTGCTCCAAGGCAGCCACTGCTATGAACATGACGAATAGAGAAGATCTACAGGGAAGAGCTACACGAACTGATGCAGAGTGAAATCAGCAGAACCACGGAAACAGCAGACACAACAATTACAGCCACGTCAATGGAAAGAGCAGCCACGAACCAAACCAGGTGAGAACGCTGTGGAGCGACGATGAAGCCACCTGGCTCTGCGGAGGGTGCAGGGAGGCCCCAGCTGAGTGTGGGACCCTGCACATATCTTCGGACTGTTTCTGGGTGTACTGATCAGTTTTTTCCTTTTAATCTTTTTCATCCTTAAACATATAATTTGTCATATGGAATAACTCTCTGGGAGGTAGAGGGTCAATGGGGAAATTTAGATGATGTAAAAATACAAATGATACCAACACAAACTCATTTTAAGAAACAACACACGGCACTTCTGAAACATATGAATGCCTTCGACAGAACTGGGTAAACCCTTATCCAGGCCTCCCTTCGTTATTAGTTTATGAACCAACATTTGTGTAACACAGCAACGCGTCATCTTCTAACTCCTGAAGCTCTTCACAATCATATGGCAACTACAACAAATGTGGGACAGAGACAGCTCCTCTGTGGGCTCAGCTTGAGATCTCACGGCTCCCTCCTCACTCTTTCAGGGCCTCCTATGAGCCAGGCACTGTACAACAGGGATGTGACGATCCAACAGAATGGCTTATGTCTGGGACACAATGCACGCACACATAAAGAAGAATTCAACATTTTTTTTTGAGGTGGGGCTAGGCAATGGGGTTAAGTGACTTGCCCAAGGTCACACAGCTAGTTAAGTGTTATGTGTCTGAGGCCGGATTTGAACTCAGGTCCTCCTGAATTCAGGGCCGGTGCTCTATCCACTGCACCACCTAGCTGCCCCTAGAATTTAACATTTTAAGAGTGGGCCATGCTTCCTCTCAGGGCCTGGCCTAATCGTTTCCCAATAATGGCTTTACATTCACCTAAAGTTCCCCATCCCTCAACCCAGCTTTGCTAAGAAGCTGAGAAGCCACATTTACAAGAGTGTTTGCAATTTATAACTCACTCCATCTACACTACAGAGCTACAGAGCTCCTCATTTACGGCCTGAACCCACTGTGCCCTTGTTATCACGCTTCCGGGATCCCAGCCTCCCTCTGCCCAGTGTCAGGGGGTCATCCCCCCAAAGGGCCATGGGATCTATGTGGAGGGCTGGCCTGCTATGGTGATGAGACATTCTTGTGCTGTTACAGCGGCTTTAGTTTCATAAATGTCATGCTTAGTGACAATTACAAAGGACAGATGACTAAGCTCCCTTAGTTTTCATCCTTGGGAAGACACAGGGCAACCCTTGAGGACTCACCGTGCGTGCGTGTGTGTGTGTGTGTGTGTGTGTGTGTGTGTGTGTGTGTGTGTGTGTGTTGGGGGGGAAGGTTCTTCTTTTAAAAAATCCATATACTTCAGCTTCATTAATTCCTTGTAGGTCACAGTCAATTAAATATAATTTCAAAGACTTTTAAATAAACG